CTCAGTTTTCGCCAGAAGAAGAGGTTGTTATCATAAATATCATCAAAAATCAAACACATTAACTTGAAAAGCATCTTCATCAGCATTTTCGCATTGCAATTGCTCAGATCCACAAGTTTCACAAATCAAATTACTCTGATTTGCAATCTCAGCAGGTTTTACAACTCTTGTACCCGTTCAGTAGTCCATATTAAACTCTCTTCCTAGAGCATCTGTCTCATTTCCAAGATTCCGTCTATATCTTACGGAATGCCAGTATCTTTCTCCGGCACTGTTCACAGTGGTTGTCTAAAGCGATCATTCAAGAGATGTGCAGCTGGCGTTGTGGAAGACATATCATTGATCGTGCGTGATGATGAATGCATGCAAATATCAACTATTGAATTTTAATCACAATGAATTAACCGAAACTTTCTGTTTGTTCTACTCAATTGATAAGATAAATATATCCTTTGTTTGAACTATCTGAACGAATCCTCCCTTTTCAACTCATCTGTCAGTATCTATAATATAAGTAAGATCTCATCGTATTCTTCACACCTTATTCATCATATTTGGGTCTTCGCCGTTCATGCTACGTTATTGGATATAACAATTCACTTATCAACCACTTCATTATGACGATCACTTGCTCAAGAGTATAGTCTATTTCTGATGTCATAATTCAGCGTTGTTTATTTGAAGAATCAACCTCATCTACGAGTTCAACTTTTTGCATATTCACTGAAATTCGGGATCAGTTTTGATCATTCACGGAGAGATAATCGCTTGAGTGTATCATCAGGGGGTTTCACTCTAGCAAGTAATTTCTCATTTCGCTTATCATCAGATGATCTCCGATTTGCTCCCCATCGACATACAATTCTAATACTGTGTTTTTTCAAAGTATTTGTTGATTCTTCTTAAATTGTTTGCTCACTGCATTATTATATCATTTCCTAACTTCCTCAGCTATATTTCTGAGCATCCAATTGGATTCACTTATTGCTGTTTGATTATTTCGAATACGTTGATAATATACCCCTATGGTGTTTCAAAAACTCACCATATCGTTGCTGCTGAATTGATCTCTTATGATCTGCGTTCGAGAGTTTATTGCTGATCTGATGTAATGACTGAGTTCAACACTTCTGTACGGTTTAATTCGCCGCCATTTTCGAGTGCTGATCTGGATGAACTGATTCAAACAGCCAAGCAAGCATGTTATCCTAAGCAGTCACGTTTCGCTAACACAGCTGCCCATCTCTATTCCACTCAAAAAGCATCTCAAATCCCGGGTTCCTCGCTCCCAAGTGGCCAAGATCACTCATCGGTGGAAATGAAACTCCGCGCTTATGATATCGATTTGTCGTCTCCTGTAAAAGCGGTGAATGTAAATGGACAGGCCTTCAAGCCGTCCTGGTGTCCAGAACGACGACCAGTTCATGAGGTTAGTGAGGTGGTCAATTCTGGAAACTCAAGCCATATTGTGAGTCTTGAGAACAATCCAAAAAGTGATTTCATTGCCAGAAAAGAACTGCCATTTATTGTGAAAGCATTAAGACAACGTCAAAGCGATGAAACGAGGACATTTAAGAGGACCCAGAATGAGTTAAACCATAACGATGCTCCTCTGAATTCCAGTCACATTGCAAAGAATCCACATTGCTTCTTATCTTCATATGACAAACTCAACTCTTCAACTTCAATTCATGGTATTCCCAATTCAGTACCATCAATTAATGATCGTTCCAAACAACGTTCTACGACAGCCTCTCCAACAATTCAACGTAAATTACCTACGAATCACAAGTACTCCTCTCCAGATACACTGAAGTTTACCGAATCCCAGCAAGAAGATTCATTCAGCTTATGTGATGGAAAACCATTTGGAACTGAAAAAGCTCCTAACCCTCGTAACGAGACTGATGGAAAACTGCTGAAAACACCCGTTTTCGGTTATTCTTCGGCATTAGTAACCAAAATTGGTGATCATGAATTTGTTCGTAACAATGAACAATTGAGTGCGTCATCCGTTCTCGCACCACGATCACAAAAGTCGTTCGGTGATCATCAGCCGACTGCCAACAGCAAAGTGAATTCATTCAACCGTACGGCAGCGCCGTTTATCTCCGCAAAACGATCTCCGTTGCCATCGATCTCAGTTGCGTGTGCACAATTGCAATCAGCTGAAATCGATTCAAATGCTCTCATCAATGATTCAAAGAATGGTTTCAATTCTCTGAAGTTTGCGCAACAGCAACAATGTCAACAACAGATTGAAAGATGTGCGGATGACGATTATGATGCTGATAAGATCCGTTCAAAATTTCACGCATCCTCACCAAACCATTTACAATCGTCATCCCTTCAGCAGCAGCAGCAGCAACATTCCAATCGTCCTCAACTAACCACTACCACTCAAACAAGTGACAGTTGTCCACAACGAAGCCATTTTGCGCTGAATTCGTCACATTCCACCACTTGGATGCCTCACTGGCGAGGTTCACATCTGAAGCAACATCATAATCCCAGTTCGTCAATCACCGACGATCAAACAAGCCATCCATTTATGCAAAGTGAATGTGTCACTTCTGTGGCACCGTCAGATTCCGGTCACTCGCTGTTATCCTCGTCGTTGTTCTCATGCGCTCCATCAGCCAGCGTTCACGCGTCATC